TTTCTCGAGCCTCCCTTCAATGACAACTTACTTCATTAGCTCAGGTTGCCTTACAAAACCACAGGGCCCTAGATCTCTTAACCACTGAGAAAGAAGGCACTTGCCTTTTCTTCTGAGAGGAATGTTGTTACTACATTAATGAGTCAGGCCTAGTGGAACAAAATATTGATACCCTGTCTCTCTTAACCAAAGAAATCTAACTTCACGGGACTAAAAACTCCCCTGTCCTAGACTGGACTCAATCTCCTCTGCTCTCTTGGCTACTGCCTTTGCTAGTGCCCCTTATTGTTGTCTTTATCCTCCTGAGCTTTCTCCCCTGCATTATGAAAACTTCATGAAATTTTTTACTAGGTCACATATCTGCTGCCACCAACCAAAGACTCAATCAACTCCTCCTCTAAGGATATCAGCCTCCCTGGGGCCACTGAGGGGACCCCCCACACTAACCCCTACAAAGACACCAAACCCTAAGGACCCCACCTGTGAACATGTGCCGCCTCCCGCCAGCCGGAAGCAGCCAGAGGATCAAACTGCGCTCCAATACCCAACCCTTTTCCTCTTCCCTTCTCTTTTTAAGAAACAAAAAATGGGGGAATGATAAGAACTGCCCCTTGCCACCATTCTGCAGTCTGAGCTGCAGCTGGTCTCATCCCTTGCAGAACAAAGCCCACTGTCCCTTATCTCCCACCATCTCCCTTTGTCTACCCCTAGCCCTTGATTTCTCCCAAATGCTACTTAAGGCCAGACCCGCTGAGAGAAGCTGCTGTGCCATTTTTTCTTGGCCAGCCAGCCTGCTTATTAAACTTTTGGACATGAGATACCTCTCATGAGCCTCCTTTGTGTGCGGTGTGTGACATTTTCCTAACAAGTTGGACCCAGAATGACCAATACCATGTGTTCTCTCTCACATGTAGAGATAAAAACAAAGCCACCTGCATGTATAATATGATCTCTAAAGGCTGGAAAAAGTAGAGAGGGGGGTTAAAGAGGTTGAAAAACAAGCATTGAAAGACACAAAAGGAGCAAGTTCTGGTGTTCCGCAGCACACTGGAGTAACTTATGGTGTTACTGGACCAGTTTGACTACTCACCCTATAACAGGACAATGAGGTTAGAGTTGAAGTGCTGAGGCAAGGAAGGACTATTCAGAAAGCAGACTCAATAAAGAAAAGGGGACTCTGTTCACAAAACCTTTTTTTTAGTACTGAGATTTGAACTCAGGAGCCTCATGCTTGTGAGGCAGTCACTGTAGAGCCACTTCTCTTTTTTTGGTTTAGAGTCTCCCTACATATCCCAGATTGTCCTCATACTCTCTCCATGGTCTTGCCTCAGCCTTCCAGGTGCTGGGATTATACACCTGAGAAACTATGTTCAGTTTACAAAGGGTTTTTTTTTGCCTCAAAGTTGATTCTGAGGTGTATGATGTAAGTAGTTAAGTGTTGCTCCCAGAGTGGTGGGTGTCTTCACAGAGATAAACCTCTGATCCTTATGGTCTTGTCTTGAGATGCCTTTCCATTCTGCAAATTTCAGTAACAAAGGTGGTTATTTCCTGGAGCTATTCTTGTGATTAATTGGTTACTTATTATACCATAGACATACTAGAGAGGGGGAAGCTATGCCCACAGAGACACTCTTGCTGATCGCCAGGTTTCCAGGAATGAGTGATCAGAAATGCCTGTGATGAACAAAATATTCTTAATGCTTGGGTTCAACACTTCACCAATAGTCTACCCCATTGTTTGGGACAGATGAGAAGAGAGGGGCTTGAAGTTCCAACATTTAAAAAAAATGATAAGGAGATAGAAATGCTAATTGATTACTTTGATCCAAGCAGACTATATGCCTGTGTTGAAACATCAGACTATACCTTGCAATTTTTAAAGATGGAGGATTTCAGAAAAAGATATATTGAAGCTGAGTTGCTTCCTCTGGACAATGGTCACCATGCTTAGTGACCAGGAGGAGGAAGGACCTGTGTGTCACTGCCTGTGTGTTGTTACTACTGCCTGTCTTTTCTTGCAGGTACTCTTACAAGGGGTTTGCAAGATGGACCTCACAGTTGTAGGACACTGCTGCCATCAGGTGGTGGTATTCACTTAATGACTTCAGACCTGAAAAGAAACAAGTCCCTTAGTTAGATTCTAGGGGACTGTGAGCAATCTGGGCAGAAATGTGGAAGAAAACACTTCTACTTCAAGAAGTACTGAGTGTTGAACTCAGGGTCTCATGCATGCTAGGCAAGAGCTCTACCACTTGAGCCACACCCCCAGACCTTTTGTTTGTATTTTGTTCTTATGATAGGGTCTCTCTAACTTTGCCTGGGCTGCCCTCAAACCTTTGATCCTCCTGCCTCTGCCTCCTGAGTAGCTGGGATTACAGAAGTGCATCACCTGGCATTTACTGATAATATACTTGTTTGCACTGGATTCTTCATATTGAATGTATTTATGACCCTGGATATGTCTCTTCTCAGGGAAGAGAAAAAGCCTCACATTGTGACTTGCTTCTCTGAACTCCCTCTGAGTGCAGCCACACACTGCAGACTGGGAACAACTGGTGAAATACACATGGAATTATCTGGTTTCATCAAAACTTTTCTTTGCAAAACAGACAAATGTCTTAGAAAGATTCTTTCAGAGAAAGCTGGTCTTCAGGCTAACTGTACCAGTGCCTGTGCCAGCAGTCAGAGCCAGGGTAGCCCTCCTGACTTTCCTGCAGCTTTTCTTTGTAGCGATTTGCCAACCAATACTTGAGAATTTTTAGTGTATGATTGTTTTTTTTTTTTCCATTATCTTTGGTTACCAATGCCTTCTGGATCAAATTCCCTAATTTTTAATGCAGTCCCTGTTTATTGAACACATACTATGTGCCAGAAAATGCTGTGATGAACAGAACTTAGCCCAATTGTAAGAGGTGCTTAAACTGCTTTTTCTAAAAAGCATGAATTACTTACTTGGGCCCATGAATTAACTAAAACAGGAAAAAGTACAACATCTGTATCTTAATTTTGTATCTGTCTTTGCTCTAAGCCATTCTCTTTGTAGTCACTGTGCAATCACCTTGAATTCCAGGAAAGATTGCCCTGATAATGTAAGAGGTCCACAAACTGCTTTTGCTGAAAAGCACTGACTCCTTACATGGGCACATTAATTAACTAAAAATGGGAGAAACTTGACATCCCTGCCTCCATTTTGAATCTGTCTTTGTTCTAAGCCATTCTCTTTACAGTCACTTTGCAATCACCTTGGATTCCAGAAAGCATAGGATTTATAACATCTTTATGACAAAGAACCAGAGCCACCTGGAGCTGCCACCCTCCTGTTGATGACAATTCACATCCCAAGCCAGAATAATCCTCTCAATCAGGAACCAGACTACTCCCTCTAGGTGATAACTTCCCAGAACTGGACCAGACCACCAGGCTACTTGCCTGACCAAGGCTGTTCCTCCAGTCACAACCACACCTGTGACTGGGACTGTTTAACTATGCATACTTTTGTCCCTTGCTCCCAGTTCTTTTGTCTACTTAAACCTATAGCTCATGTCTGTACCCCAAAGATGGCTGAAAATGAGCTGAGTGCTTACTCTGCCTCTTTCCACAACATGACCCGAGCTCTGTAATAAACCTCCTTTCTCTTCCCTCACCACACCTCTTTATTTGGCATTCAGGAGCAGTTGGCCAGACCTGGTGCTGGAATGTTGAGAAACACTGAAACAATGCAAATGCTGGAAAGTCAAGAAAACAACACGCACTCCTCCCCAACCTCAATGACCTTCTTGCTGATGTCCAGCACCTCCCCCACCCTCCCTCCAAACCAGCTTACCTAATGCCTATCCTCCTCCAACCTCCCTTTTCCCACCACAGGATGTTTAAAAACCCCAGCCTGTAGGGGTATCACTCTGATGGCTGAGGGTTCCTCTCAGGTTTCCTCTCCCTAATAACAACCTGTTGCTTGTGAAGGTCACAGATTCTTTCTCAGTGTGTCTCTCTTTTCAGCTCTTCACTTTCCTTTCACCTGGCATATGGGATCTTAGGAGTTTGTGCCTTGGGTCCAAAATTCTGGTTTCAATAACATCTTCATGGCAAAGGACAGAAACTATCCCTAACAGTGGAGCCTCTTCTGGATGGATGACCTGCCAGGCAACAGTGACCAGATAAAAACCCCTCTGGAACCTCTTCCAGAACAAGGACTGAAATAATAACCAGTTAGTCCATACCTGTGACTGAAACGGTTTAACTATTCATAATTTACCCCTCTTCCTTTGCCCCCAGTTATTCATCTATTTAGCTCATGTCTGTACCCCAAAGATGGCTAAAGATGGCTTGAGTGTTTACGCTGCCTCTTCCCATTGCCTGTCCCTTCCCATGCCTCTTTATTTGGTGTATAGGGGTGAGTGGCCTGACCTGGCATGTGGAATCCCAGGAGTTTGGGTCTTGGGTCTAAAACCACATTTACTGAGAAAGCCAAAGGCAGGATAGATAGATGAAGCAAGGAAATTATATTTTAATCAATATTTAAAGGGCCAGACTCTGACTTTGGAATAAGGAGAGACAGTAGATAGCCCCCTCCCATCTCCTTTTAGATGCTAAGTTACAAAAACTGGGAGACAAACAGAAGCTATCTGCCTCTGCTTTCCTTTTTGAGATGTTAAAAAGCTACAAGGATCCTTGGAGAGTAATGAAAAGGAAATTCAAAAGCATCCTATTGTCTCTGTGATTTAGGGTGTGATTTGGAGGATGACCTTTCCCTGTTTTAGAAGCCATCTCAGACACCCAGACCCATTATCTTTGACCACGGGTATTCCTGGATTTCCACTATAAAACTAAAGAGTTGGGGACCACCATTTTGAGTCTCTGCTCCCATTTCCTGAGCAAGGGCAGGAAATCTCTCTCTCTTTCTCTCCACCCTTCTCCCCCTTGTGTATACTTTATCCTGTTATCTGAAAATAAATTCTTCTTCACCTTTTAAGATTCCTTGTTGTGAGACACCTTGAAATGCTTTTCAATGTTTGTGGATCTCAAGGACCTGTGATTTTGCATGGAAACTGGGAAGCTGTGGAGCCCCCCATCTGCCCTCTGGTGACAATGTGACAGTAAAGTAAGTGTTGCTCTTTTACTGGGGAGCTCAGTGTGGTCTGAGAGCAGAGTTCTAGATGTTTGAAGGCTGGAAGTGGGGGTGAGGCAAGCTAGTAACTGGGAAAAGAAGTCTGCCATGGGTCTCCACCCTCTTCAGTAAAAGATCTCGGATCCATGCGGAATTCCCCTTCCAGTAGTACCTTCCAACATCTCTGGAGTTGTAAATTCCTTTTCAATTGTAAATTCCTCTGCAGTTGTAAGTTCCCCAAAGAGAAAGTGAGTCTCTGAGCAGGATAAGACTAGAAAACAGCACATGCCTGGTAAAGGAAAATCTGTCCTCAGTTTCACCTCACAGGTAAAGCCCTCTACTTAAAATCTTATGAATATTGGTCACATCTCATACATACATACATACAGGAATCAGCATACATGCATGTGCAGAATGCCCCAGGTTATATAAAATAAAAGCTTGTGGAGTAAACCGATCCATCACTGAGCTCCTCCTGCAGAGACTACCCAGATTTTACACACCGTGTGCCCTTACAGCCTATGAATTGCCCTGTGAACAAAGATGCAGGCTTCTGAGCCACAGTGACAGGTAGGCAGGGAGGGAGAAGGGAGATAATGAGAGATAATGAGTGCAACAGTAAAACAAAAAACCAGATTTGAGGAATGTCAAGTAGCACCTGGGGCAAGACCAGAAATGGGTCACCTCACCCCAGAGGTTAAAATAGCCAGTGAAACAGTATGTGACCATGTATGGGACAAGCTGAAACCCCCTCCATTTCTGTAACCTGCTCTAAATGGTATATTGTTCTCGGGGCTCAGCCTTTGGATGCAAATCCACCAAGTTGCTGCCAGCCTGCTTAATAAACTTCTAAAAGCTTTGGTGCTCCGTCTCTCCCACCACTCTCTCTTTTGCAGCACCTTGCTTTCCTTTTTCCTTTCAATGAATCTCTACTACTGCTTGGCAATCTGTGTCTCTGTCCACTTCTTCCAGAGATGAAGAACCTGAGATCTTCTGGACCAGGGTCTCCTTAGACCACCCTCCGATAACAGGAGAAAGGGGAATGAGGAATGTTAACAGCTGCTAGGGGGAATTGACTTTGGGGTCAGTGGATCTTTTGATGATGGAAAAGTGAAACCAAAGTCCCATTTTGGAATGGAGAAGTCTCAGACAGTGAGAAAGTGTTTTGCTCAGTATCATAAAATGTTATCTTTCCATTGTGCCTTCTTTCATTTTTTTTTTTCTTTCTTGGTGGTCCTGGGACTTGAACTTAAGACTTCAGGCTTGTTAGGCAGGTGATCTATCACTTGAGGCAACAGTCTTTTTACTATACACCTGCTTATACACACAATTAAAAAAAAGATATCAATATAATGCTTCAATTGAAACATACATCAGTGGTAAAAATAACTTTTGACAAAATTATATCCGGGTACTATGTAAACGTATGAATGTGGTCTCACACTAGAAGGCATAGTGAGTAGTGAGGCACTTGGGTCTCCAGGTAGAAAAACAAGAATGTGGGTTGGTAGAATAGCCCAAGTGGTAGAGAGCCTGCCTATCACTGTAAGGCCCTGAGTTCAAACTCCAGTACCATCAAAAAAAAAAAATTCCTAGAAAAGACAGAATGTAGTGTGTGTGAATTTGTACAAAGTCAGCTCTGCTGTATCACTGACTCAGATAATCCTAACTGCAGTTTCTTCAGAGAAATGATTTTCCAAAATGGTGAGTAACTAGGAGCCAAGAAACACAGTCTTTTCTACATTTTTCACTCCTGGAAACTTCAGTGTCTAATAAAACCATGCAAAAAAATATTTTGTTAATAGGTAAAACAAAGTTATATTTACACCCATATAATTATAAAGATTTTTAATCTCTGTGAATGAGCAGAGGGACACTAGAAATCTATAAGGCCGAGGAACAGTTTTGCATGGTGAGACTGTTGTGCATATTGTCTAGTGTTCCTTCTCCCCACCCCACAAATGACTGTGGTGTCCATGAAAATCCCTCTTCCTGGCAACCTCAACCGTAGGGACAAAGACTTCCAGAAATTTCTGTATTGCCCTTGAGGGGACAGTGACAGAACAATAATGTTGCCATTTGTAAATCAGAGGCCATTTTATCCTCAGACCTCACTTGAGAAACTCCCAAGGACAGCCCTGCCCTTAACAGAAATTCCCGGGCTCTAAGACAGCCCCGCCCCTACCAGAGACTCCCACGCATGCGCTAACTTCCTTAACCTCCCTCTTCTATAAAAGCCACGCCTCACCCAGAGTCTGGGCTGCGCCATCTTTCCCCGGCCAGCCTGGTGGTTCGAGCCTGCCATTAAACTTTGTTCTTGGACGTGAGACTTTTCTCCTGAGCTTTCTTTGTGAGTGGCATTTTTCCTAACAGACAGTACTATCCTCATGGAGTATTGCCTGTGGGGCGGTGAGGCTCAGCATTATTCTGAATATGTCTTTTCCTTTTGCAGCAGTCCTGGGGGAAAGCTGGAAGACTGGAGTTTTACACACACAAGTGAGAAAGGTAACACTTGACACCTTTCTGGAGCAGTTGAAGTCTTCCTGGATCAGTTTGTCTAGTGTGGAAAGCTGGAGTCAAATAGATTGGGGTGTGACTTAGTGCTACCGTGTTTGCCTTGCTTGTACAAGTGCCTACCCCAGTACTGGAAAATACAAAAGAAAGCAAAAAAAATCCCCCAAGATTACAGTTTTCATTTCAGTTTTAACCAGTTTTGTACCTAATTGGCTATCATATACCATCACCCCCCAATTCCCAGGCCACCTGTGAGATTACATAACCCAAGTCTATCAAGTCCTTCTTGGAATCAGATTTTCCATCCAGCTGGTCCCCCTCATTCATCAGTAACATGAGCCTCCCCTCCTTTCTTTCTTTCTCTCTCTTTCTCTCTCTCTCTCACTTTCTTCTCTTTCTTTCACCAGGTCTTGATATGTACCCAAGGTTGACCTAGAACTCACAATGTGGCCCAAGCTATCCTCAAATTTATTATCCTCTGCCCACAGCCTCCTGAGCGCTAGGATTACAAGTGTGTACTACCTGGCTTTGCTTGATTCTTTTTAAGAGTGAGGAAAACCTTCCAGGAAGTCCTCAACAAACTTCATTGGCTAGATGTGTGTGTGTGTGTGTGTGTGTGTGTGTGTGTGTGTGTGTGGTACTGGGGTCTGAACTCAGGACCTACACCTTGAGCCAATCCACCAGCCCTTTTTTGTGGTGGGTTGTTTCAAGATAGGGCCTCATGAACTATTTGCCTGGGCTGGCTTCAAACCATGATCTTGCCTCCTGAGTAGCTAGGATTACAGGTGTGGGCCACCAGCTCCTGGCTGACTAGATTTTTTTTGCTTTGTTTTTTCCTATGGGTTCTCACTATGTACCTAGGGTGGCCTTCAATTCACCATTCATCCTGCATCAGCTTTGCCAAGTGCTGTGATTCCAGGCACGTGCCATGACATTGGCCACTGGCTAGAATTTTTCTTGCTCCTAAGTAAACCAGGTAAGAGCCTGGGAAGCTGGATGTCAGGTCCGGAAGAGCTCAACTAGTTAAAATTTAACTCCTAGTATGGAGTGGAGTCTGACTTCTCTGAAGGATTATTCTGCTTGACAAACAAAATATGCTTTGGGGACAATCACTAGCAGTGTCTGCCATACTCACTGTTCCCCTGTCAGGAAGAGTATGACAATACCCACTCTGCAAGGTTGCTGTGAGTATAAAACTAAAGTCATACATGTGTTGTAGGAAGGCTCAGACAGAGAGAGGCACCAAAGCTTTCAGGAAGTAAGTTTATTAAGCAGGCTGGCAGCAACTCAGCAGATTCACATCCAAACCTGAGCCCCAAGAACAAAGGGGGCTTTCCTTATATACCATTTAGAGCAGGTTACAGAAATGGAGCGGGGTACAGCTTGTCCCATACATGGTCACATATTATTTCATTGGCCATTTTAACCTCTGGGGCAAGGTGACCTTTCTCTGATCTCACCCAAGGTGTTACATGACATTTCTCAAATCCATTTTGTTTGTTGTTTCACTGTTGCACACATTATCTCTCATTATCTCCCTTCCCCCCTCCTTGCCTTCCTGCTACATTCCCTCCTTTGATGCTTGAACACACTTCTGTGTCATAGAGCATCATCTTGACCTAGGGGTTTATATTTTCACAGTGTCATTACATGAGCATCTGTCTTCCTCCCACTACAATTATATTTGACATATAAGTTTTCTTCCAGGCTAGGCCTCAGCAGGTGTTTCTAATACCCTGAGGTCAATAGATGGAGTTTTTAGCTATTACAGTGTACACATCAAAGTATATGGATACTGGCCTTTTGTGTTTGTAAACCCGTGTCTGGCTAATAAACTCCCCAGTGCTGGTGAAGCTTTGGACTGCTAGCCATTGCTTCCGTGGGCAATAGATGGGGTTAAAACAGATACACTGACCATCATGTGAGCACACTGAGTAGGTGGTATGGTTGTGGGTGCATGACCCAACAACTGTGCCTGCACAAGAATAATAAGTATGGAAAACCAGAGTTTTGGTAACAACACTCCCCACTCGGCTGGTGCACATACATGTGTAACAGTCCGAGGCCTGGGAGTCCCCAGGTAGAGAGTTGACCAAGATTAGCAAGAAGAATACAGCAAAGGGACTCATCCTCAAAGGTGAGATGGGCAACTCAAGATTCTGCCTTGGGTAAACTAGTCAGCTTCCTGAGTGACTAGAGCAGGGCTGACATCTAGTTGTTCATTGTCTCCTATTGTCTTCTGGGAAGGAGGGTCCTGCTGGGAAAAGGCACAGGCATTCCAGATGGTGATCTTACACAGTGAGGCTGGGTCAGGGAATCACTCCCAATCAAGGGAAGCTATCTTCACTTGGGTGTGGGGGATCCAGGGGATGATCTCTGCTACCTTAACTGCATTGGGGGTAGATAAAACATGACAAAAGGGCCCCTCCAGTGGGGCTTCAGCAGTTGAATATTCCATTTCTTTACCCAAACAGCATCCCCTGGTGTGTGGGAGTTGTCAGGCTAATGGGGAGTCTCTCTTTTACCCAGTCATTGATTTTTGAGAGTCAATCCAAGGACCTGCATCTGCTGCCCCAGGGTGAGGTCACTCACTTCCTTAAGCTCCCAATCCAGGCCCTTGACTAATGGGAGTGGGCACCCAAAAAGAATTTCAAAAGGGAAGAGACCCATACATTTGGTGGGGCTAGACCTAATCCTGAGCAAGGCTGTGAGCAATAACTGATCCCTTTGTAGGTGAAGCTCCTGGCATAGTTTTCCCAATTGCAATTTTAGAGTCCTGTTCATACATTCTACTTTCCCTGAACTCTGGGGGTTGTAGGCTATGCGCAGCTTCCAAGTTATTCCTAAGCACTTAGCCACCAACTGTACCACCTCAGCCACGAAGGCCAGCCCATTGTCCAATCCAGTAGACACAGATATTCCAAACCAAGGCATGATTTCCTTTAACAGACACCTAGTCACTTCCTGAGCTTTCTCAGTCCAAGTAGGGGAGGCTTCCACCCATCCTGAGAAGGTGCAGACAATCACAAGCAAATATTTACATCCTCTGGCCTATGGCATCTCAGTAAAGTCCACAATCAGGTTTTCAAAATGAGTTCCTACAACATTTTGCCCTTGGGGTGGCACTCTTGGCCCTTGTTGAGAATTGTTTTGGGCCCACAGACTGCACCATTCACATACTGTCTTGCTTATGCTGGAGAGCTTAGGGACATAAAACTGCTGGGCCAAGGTGGTCTCAAAAGAGCTGTTTATCCTGAGTGAGATCCTTCATAGAACTGCTTGGCAAATGTGGGAGACAGCAAGTCTGGGATTGCAATACAGTTGTTGGCAAATTTCCACCATCTTCCTGGTGGCAAATTTCCACCATCTGCCCAGTAGAAAATTTCCCTCCTCAGTCTTAAACCAACCCAGTGAGGCTGAGGTTTGTCCTCCTCTGAGGGCTGCTCACTTGGATTCCCTATCAGCTTTTTGGTTTCCCCAAACAGCTGCTGTCTCCCCCTTCTGGTGCCCTCAGCAGTGCATGACCAGTACTTACTTAGGGGTGCATAAAGCTTCTAGCAATTCCAGAATTTCTTGTCCATACTTAACATTTTTTCCTCCCAAGTTAATGAGCCCCCTTTCTTTACATAGGGCTACATGGACATGAATGGTAGTAAAGGCATATTTAGAGTCCATATAGATGTTTACCCGTACTCCTGCAGTGAGCTGGAGCACCCAGGTGAGAGCCATGAGCTCAGCCTTTTGTGCAGAGGTCCCAACCAGCAGCAGATGTTCTTCAATGACAGCATCCAGAGTCACTACTGCATACATGGTAAGATGTGTTCCACCCTGGATAAAGCTGCTGCCATCTGTGAAATGTCCCAATGACTGATGGGCTGATCAGTCAAATCCAACCAGATGGAAAACATCTCATCTGTAACCTCTAAACAGTCATGTTGTGGAGGACCTGAATCCACTGGCAATAGGGTTTCCAGGCTTAAGACCAGAGTCTTAATAACCTCTAGTCAGACATGCTGGTTTTCACATAACATGCTTTGATATCTGACCATTCAGGAGTTTGCCAGCCAATAATTTCTTTTATATTCCATAAGGGTCAAAACAGAGTGCGGAACTTGGATTGTGAGTTCTCATCCCAAAGTAAGTTTGTCTGCTACAGCCACCAAGATGGCAATGACAGCCAGGGTGTGCAGGCAGGGCAGCCAGCCTTGGGAAACTGCACCAAGTTGCTTTGATAAATAGGCCACTGGGTGGTGCCAGGAACCTAGCAGCTGGGTCAAAACTCCCACAGCTGTCCCTGGTCTCTCATGTACACATAGGAAGAAGGGCTTCATCACATCTGGCAAACCCAGAGCAGGGGCGTTTGTGAGTGCTCTCTTTATTTTTTTAAAGGTCTTTCCTTGCTCCTCTCCCCATACCATGTGCTCCCACTCTCCCCTCTTTATGGCTTCAAAAAGGAGTTTTGCCAAGAGAGAGTAATTGGGGATCCAGATCCCACAGAAATCTGCAGCCCCTAGAAATTCTCTAGTCTGTTGAAGGGTCTTGGGGCTGGAATGGAACAAATGACCTGTTTCCTCTCAGGGCCCAGTCTATGTTGTACATATGACTGATGAAACCCAAGGTATTTGACAGTATCCTGGCAAATCTGAGCCTTCTTTCAGGAAACCTTATATCCTGCCTTCCACAAAGGGAGAGAAGGAGGCAAGTTCCTTTCATACATACTCGTGAGTTGGTCTAGCCATTCTGAAGGAGTGTGCACCATGCCGGTTGGCCAAGAAAGCCTTTAGGTTAGACACCAAGGCAGTCCCAAAGATAGGGGAAGAGTTCTTGAAGCCTTGTGACAAACAAGTCCAAGTCAATTGTCCCTTCTACCCAGTACTAGAACTTTCCCACTGGAAGACAAAGATGGGTTGGCTCTGAAGGGCCAAGCAGATGCAAAAATGTGTCCTTAAAGGTCCAGGCAGGTTAAGAACTTTGTCTCCCTGGGATAAAGC